AAAAATCTAAATTTTATATACTAATTAATAAAAATTTTTAAATTTTAAAAAATATTTAAAAATCAAGTAGAATCTATAAACATAATGAAAAAACTTTGAAAATGGATGGTATAGATAATATGTTGTAAAATGCACTATTTATGAGACTTAAAATCTTTTTATATTTCAAGGTCATACATGTCGATGTTGAGATGATCAATCAAACATTTTCAAATGGATTTTTGAGGTGCATCCGTAGTTCTACATTATAAGGTTGCATCCTTATATAAATTTTTCGCTTGAAATAAATGATATCTTTATGGGAAATTTATCAAAATAAATATCCATAAAGAAGATAATGTAACAAATATGTACATTGTTAAATGGTGCATCTTTCATGGGTATTTTGATAAATTCATTGATAGTGATAACTCTCCCGTTTTTCCGGAGATCATATATTAGTGTTAAACAAATTTAAAATCAATTTTTTATTTTTTGAAAATATATTTAATGCTAAAGTGGATCAAACAATTTCAAATTAAAAGTGGGATTTGGTCAGCCCATTGTTTTGTTGTGTTTTTTTTAATTTTGGGTTCTCATGTCATTTTTAGATTGGGAAAGTGAGGTTATACGGCTATAATTGTCTTTACCGTTGCGTTTGAAATTTTTACCATTATTAATCCCAATTTTAGGAAAATTACAAACATTAAATCATTGAACTTCGAAAGCAAGGAAGATCTCGCACGTTCGGCTCCTTATAAAAGTTGCCACATATTTGAATAAACGCTGATTATATATTTTTAATAATAATTGCATTTAAAATGACCAAAACTGAGCTAAAGGATTGAAAATATCAAAAAAGTCCCCATCCCACTTTTCATGTTTTAAAATGTGGATTGGGCCGACCGTGTCAATCCCACTATAACAGTAATCGGCTGAATCGATGATCTGTATCAAATTAATAGTTAAAAATAATAAAAAAATATTTAAATAATTATGAGGGATGAACTACTTGATATTTTACCAATGTTTTTGGATTTAATTATAGAATACTCATCAAAATACACATGACCCATAATAGTTGCCATTAGATGAAATATTAAATAGTTGATATTTCATTCATATTTTGATAAATTTCTCAAAAAATGATATCACTAATTTCAAAGGGGAACTTAGATCACCCATTGAACTTGATCTAGATCGGCAAATTTCAATTTCGATAGGCGTTTTTTCAAACACTATTAGTCTCTCTTTGTGTCAAATTGCCCATGGGAGGAAAGAAAGAGTCCTTTTGAAAATAAAAAAGGGAACCCATAACATTGAAAAGCTAAATGTGTGGGGACAAAAAGGGCAACACATTATTTTATTTTTGTGAAAAGGGCGATATATAGGTTTCACCCAAATTCATGGCATTTTCGTCATTTTTTCCAAACAAGGGGGTATTTGTGATTCCTACCAAAGATGAGGTTGGTGTCATCGTTTGAATTTGTCATTATATTTTTTATGTCTTTTTTCAGTGTGAATGTTTTTGTTTTTCCGTAAGAATTGTTTATTTAATATTTGCATATATCAAAGTATCGGTCATGTACTCCCGCGTGCTGGCTCTGCCATTATCGAAAGAAAGCATTTTACACAGACGACGAAAAGGGTCTTCTCAAGCCCTAAATTCTTTTTGAAACCCTAATCAAACCTGCAACTGTTTGCCTCGATCTATTGCATAAGATCCATAGTCGAGGAGTCGCACTGTAATTTGTTATTTCTTGTCCTGATTAGCTTCGATTTGAGCCAAATCTGGCTCAAATCGGTATAGGTTTTGCCATAAGTTGAATGGATTTGATTAAATTTAGGTTTTTCCCGTGTTTCTCTTCCTGATGCTCAGAGGGGCCTGGATTTGAACGGATTTTCAGGTATTTTGGCGCTTTTTCTTGAAATTAAAGTACATGGGGTTGAAATCTTGACAATGGCGTAATCTGCTGCATCTGTGCTATATTTAGACAATTAGCATTTGTTCTTGATGTTTTATGTTGTCTTTGTAATTCCGTTTAGATTTGTTGGTTAAAACGCAGTTTTTTGAAAAATGAGTAGGGATTGTTTCATGAATCTACATCTTGATTTCTCTCTGTTGAGGAATCTGTTGAATTGTAATATCAGGGATTTTATCTTATGATTTCAGTACTTTCGAATTTCAGACTCTTTTTGGCCTGATTTTGGATCATAGTACCGGGTATTGGTCTTTCCCTGAATTTTCAGGTAGCGATGTGGTGCATTATTAATCTATGTTTGTTTGGATAATAAATTTCGAAAATCTATTGTTTATTTTTGTCTCGATTCAAAACACATTGTGATATTCTCCCCACATTTGCCATGGATTTTGATTTTCAAAACACATGTTTTTGACGTGTCTTGTTTTGAGGTAATCTTCATCACGACTTGGGGGAATGGTATTTTTCCTGGGTGTGACTTTCGGTGGGATTTTTATATTTTCTTAGTTCATGTGCATATCCTAGTTTATGTTACCTGCTCCCTCAGAGTTTACTGATAGCCCCTGGATTTCTTCAAGTTGTGTGGATGTTTTGCTTCCTTTCATGGAGATCTAACTTTCTGATGTTTATTTGGTTTGAAAGGAACTGCTTTTTACGCCCATGAGCAAACTTTTTGTCCATTAGTTCAGTGAAATTGTCCAAAACCTTTAATGTACTTAGTCTCTTTTTATACAATATCGAGTCAGCCTTGGATTCAAAGTCTTTCAATATGCTTTCCTACTTTTTCCTGAATTATATTCAAGGCACTTTTTTTTTTCTGTCTTCTATTAACGTTTATTATTATTTACTATTGTTTTTATGGACTCTGGGTTAGCACAACAAACTTTTGATCCTTTTTGTGCCCTTCAGATTTATTTTGATCCATAGAACATTTTTTGCTTTCATTTGCAGTTTATGTTTGGAAATTGTTGATTCTTTAAGTAAATATGTGTGATACTGTAATGATTACATTATTGAAAATTTAGTTTCTCCATCACTGTTCAGATGACAATGATTGGTTATTTCTTGTTACTGTACTATCTATGCATTATTTGGTAGGTTGTCTGTTGTACCTTTTCCGGCATTTTCAGTGGCCTGAAAACAGTTAAAAGGGGGAAGTTGCTTGTTGAGTGATTTGTTACCAGAGACAAGTCTCCTCTTGTTTTCCTTGGAGTCCTGCCTTGTTTTTATGTGCCACATAATTCCTATTGAAGAGGAATTAAAGTCTTTTGGAGCTTCAGTACTAATTACCTTTTAAAGGCAATTGTAGTTGAGAATCAAGTATTTTGGTGATCTTAAACAGTCATAGATGAACCTCACGTGAAGCTAGCTTGAAGATATTCATGTATATACCAAGAAAAATAAAAATTTCATGTTATTTCCTTTGGTTTGGCCTTTGGGCAATATTTTGTGCTAGGTGTTCTCTGAGAAGTGATTAAATTTTGAAAATTAAAATTTTACATGGGTTTTGTAGGTTTTGATAGCAATTCAGATTTCTTTCCTTTTCCTCTGATATGTAGTTATGAAAATCAATAAGAGTATACAAACAGATATCTTTCCTTTTTGCCTCTCTCTCTCTTGTTGTCTTACAACTAATAGTGTTGTATCTTTTCCATCCTTGGTAGTGGGCTTCATACTTTACGACATTGGCGCCACAACGCCGGGCCCAGCGCCACATGGGCGGGCAGATGCAGCAGAGCAATGCTGCGGCAGCGGCTCTCTATGACCACAGCGGCCCTGCAAGTGATGCCGGCGATGCTGTTATGGCGCGCTGGCTCCAGTCCGCAGGCTTGCAGCATCTGGCCTCCCCATTGGCGTCTACGGGCATTGATCACCGCCTCCTCCCGAACCTCCTCATGCAGGTAAACATTCTTCGATTTGTTCTACAGTCACCCACCTGATATGATTTGTTTTACAGTCGCCCACTTCGAAGTGTCTGTCTCATGATTGCATGATGAATTTTGGTTAAGGAACTGTGAGGGAAATCCTATGACTACAATTTATTTCTTTTCTTTTCATTTTTCTCTTTAATTATGTTCTTGACATATGTTTGAGGCCTTCTGGATTGTCACTGTAATGAAAGCCCAAACGCACATCATCCAAGGAAAAAGAAGGCTTAAACTTAATTATTAATTTTCAGCAACTTTGCAGTGTTTGAATTATGTATTGCATTAATTTTATTTTGTTTTTGCGAAGCTGCATCTAATGCATGCGTACAAATACATGATAAAAACATGCTACTCCCTTAATTTGGATGTTCTTGTACTTAAATTGTCAAACGCGCAATGTAAATTTTTATATAAATTGGCCCCACTGTTTTATGACATGAGAGCTTCTTCTTGAATTGAAGCCACTTTATTATTCCCCTGTATTTTTTATTTTTTAACCCCTTTTTCCTATGCTTAGGTAAGATTTATTCTGCTTTGATTGTTTTCTTTTGCAACCCACCTCTTTTGATTATTGAAAATGTGTGACTGGGTTGTGGATGAGAATTAGTTTGCCTTAGCAGAATTTTTGAATCTTCAGGGTTATGGAGCCCAGTCAGCTGAGGAGAAACAGAAACTCCATAGATTTCTTAGGAACTTGAATCTGAGCGGGGAGTCTGAACCCTACACCCCGCTTGCCCAAAGCTCTGGAGGAGCTGCTGCTGCCGACAGCTTTTACTCTACTGAACTACGAGGGGACTTTGGAGCAGGGCTTTTGGATCTGCATGCCATGGATGACACAGAGCTTCTTTCAGAGGTATGCCCTTGGCAACTATTTTTGGGCTATAATTCTTGTTAAAATGGCATGCAGTTGTTTGAGCATTATTATATGGTTCAAATTTGAGGAAACAAACTGTTGAAAAACGTGGAATATAAAGAATCACACAGGAATCGGGATCAATGCAAAGTAATTTGTTAGAAAAACTAAGGAAGCTACTTGTATTCCACATGGAATACATAAACCATTGGTTCCTAATAAGGCATTGTAGGATCTTACTTTTTCTTATTGCTGATTTGAGGTTCATTTAATGCTCCAACATTTGATTTGAGCTGTTGCAAATGAAAATTTTGATATTGCTTTTAAATTTGAACACATAATCGAACTTCTCTTTTACTTCCCAAACACCATACCCATGCATGTATATCCACAATGGAAGTGATGTCTAACAATGGTTGGAATCACAGTGCGCATTAGTATTGTTGGACTCGAGTGGCATTCTTCTTCCTCTTCACATAAGAAGCATGTGTATTGTGTCCAAACACATATCTAGTGCTAGTACCTAGCTATAAGGAGCATTCAACATGTCTCCTTACACAGGTGTTTGTGGTGGCCTTGAGAGAAACACAAATAGGAGAAGTCATGATGATGTGGTTAATACGGCAACATTAGGTTCTCCTGGACTGATGGAGGCAAGAGGTGTAAGTCTTATCTCTTTTCCCATAAGCTCAGCAAGGGGAAAGCATAACTAATCCTGGGTAGCATGGGTCTATAAAGAATGGATGCCCTTATCTACTCAGACCTGGGACCTGAGGAGCTGAAATATTTAGGATTTAAATTGCACAAAATCACAATTAGTCATAGTTAAATAATGGATACGCATATTACCTTCACCCGATTAAGCATTGTTTTGGATAGATCTCCCAAAAATTGTCCTATGCTCATTTTGCTGTCGGAAAACTCAGTGAATCTAATCACACCACACCTGGACGACTTCTTGTGTGATATGCAATATGCATATTCATTACAAGACTTTTGTATTATGAATTCCTGCAGGAAAGAACTTAAGGAGCTGAAACATGTAAGTTTCACATTGCACAAATAGGCATAGGGACCTGGATAGACTTATATCTTCGCCTAATAAAGCATTGTTTTGTTGCAAAAGAAATCCTTTCGAAATTGTTCAATGCTTATGTATTGAGATCAGATGGCCTGGTATAATGCCCACTTGTGCTCAGTTGTCTCAGTGGTTTTTCCCCTCCTAATTATGTGTTTTGCATGATACAATTTTTTTTCTGTTTATATGTCAGTGGTGTTAATGTATACCATAACGTTGTTCATATTGCTGCTTTTGTTTATGATGATACAACTCTTTTTTCTCCTGGCAGCATGCTATTTCAGAACCTTTTGATGCATCCCCTTTCATGCCCTCTGTTACCCGGGGATTTGAAAATGATTTTGATACAGTGACTAGCAGACAGCAAAGGTCACAAGCTGATGCTTCCTTCAAATCATCAACAAATGAAAAAGAGACAACTGGGAAGGAGAGCAACCTTGCCAAGATTAAAGTTGTGGTATGTTTTTTCCTTTGTCATTTTGATCACTTAGATTAGATGTCCAAATTGGAGAGCTTGAAATGGCGTTGCTGATCAATGGGACTTCAGTAAATTGGTTCTGTGTTTTCTTTTGAATCAGCTTTTTAAAAGTTGAATGTTATTTCTTCATGCAAATGAAGTGGGTGTTTGGATTTGTTTATCTTCATGATGTCTTCTTTAATATACTGGGTCACCTTAGTTGATTTTATTCAAACTCTGGATGACAGGTTCGCAAGAGACCATTAAACAGGAAGGAGGTGTCCCGTAAAGAAGATGACATTGTAACAGTGTTTGACAATTCCTACTTAGCTGTCCATGAGCCCAAGCTAAAGGTCCTCTTTTTGGTTGCGATGTGTTGTTTTGCTTAGCTATGGAAATATGGAGGTCAATTCTAATATGTTCTGATTGTAGTCAGTGTTGATCTGAGCAACGTGTGTGAATGCTGAATATGTGTTTGTATGGAAATTCATTGTACATAATTTACATGCTATGTTGGTCCAGGATGTCACTTTCGTCCTTTCTTTATCTTTTCCAGTTTTTTTCATATAATGTTACCGTTTTAGTGCCTGCTTGCGTGGACTACTTACTCCAAGTAAGTCCCGTAGTTGGTTATTTCATTCGGAAGCGAAAAATGCAAGGCTTTTGGTATGCTTTCACTATTTTGGAGCATAATTAAAAAGTCGCCTGCCCAGGCGGCTAGGAGTCCTCACAGCACTGCACTGCCCCTATGTGCAGGGCGGTGACCCTTGGCAGCCAACTAATCGCCCAGGGCCCTGCCTAGGTGGGCACCCAACACGTGCCTGTCTAGAGCCCTTTTGCGAAGGCGGAAATTGCCCTCAAAGGGAAAAAAATGTAACTTTCCCCTTTTAATAACATTTTGGCCCTCTCAAAACCCTAGAGAACTTTATTTGTGCCTCCAAAACTATATTTTATAATTTTGTGAATATTGTGTTATGTTGTTTTAGCATTTTCTTGTGTTTATTTCTTAAGTTTGGCTTTACATTTATGATGAAACTTCATGAGTGTTACGTTTTTCTAGGGTTTTCTATCTTTGTGATTATAAAATATTTTGGCTATGTTTTTAATTTACAATACAAATTAGAATAATTATAATATATTTTTGGCTATGTTTGCATATTTTTTAATTTAATGCAAAATTGAAAATTTATAATATATTTCTCCCAGCCTTTTACACAATGGCACCTTGTCACTGGGTGGCTGCCTGGCCGCTCTGTCGGGAGCCATCCCTGTCTTCTTGAACATTGGTTTTGAGTGAGGCCTTTTCCTCGGCTCATTTGTACAGGCATCTTCTGTTACTAGTGCTAATGTTAAATGTGAAACCCTCTTTTACCTATTCGTAAAGTAAAATAGTGCATGTAGCAGACTTGCTGTTTTGCACGAACACACCCTTTGATGTTGTGATAGTTTCTGAAAAGGAAATACTTTAATGTTGTGACTTGTCTGGTGGGTTTTTTTTATCTCACTCTTGTTTGACATTCTTGAAGTTTATTTAACTTTTGGTGCCTGTGGGTCCCTCCTGTTGCTAATAATGTTGGGTTATGATGTGACAGAAATACACTCACTGCATTCACGATTTGATCACCATTTGGTGAGTGTTTCGGAGAATATGGATAACTTAGGACTAAAGTAAGGACCAAAAATTGGGAACAGGCCATTTTTTTCCCTCCACCAACTTAGCGGTGAAAAATAGTGCACCTTGGTCCAATCAAAAACTCTCAGTTGATGAACTTTTGTCACCCTGCAATTTAACAAAGCGCCACGAAAGTTTCAATTAGCCTGGAAAAAAAAACCTGTTTTTCCCACATTTAGAAATAGCTCCCTTATTTGTTGGAGTTGTTCTGCTGTCCAAATGGCGCCTTAAGAGTTTTCTATATGATCAAACATATATGTAGTCACTGTGATCTTGGCCTTCGGGTGCAGTGGTTTTCTCCTATCATGACATGAGACATTTAATGATCAATGTGGAGAATGTTATGCTTGGAGGTCTTTCGAGGTATCAATGTTAGCAATTGCAAGTCATCCTGGAAAAGTGTAGTAGTAGACTTGCTTAAGGTCATCTAGGCTATCTTAATACAACATGGGGTCTAAACTTGAATATCATTCTGTTCCTTGACCCTGTCAGCATGATAGGATCAACAATCCAAGGTAGCTCTGGGGTCAGAAATGTGCCAAGTTACTAATCCCGGCTGTCTTAGTGTTATTGAGAACCAAAGTGTGCTTTTATCTGAAAGGGATGTGTTAAACTTATTGTTACTTTCAAAGAATTGGTTAGTATTGGTGTTCCTAGTAAATGATAGAAAGTGGCGTGGTTTTGTAGATTGAAGGAAGACATGCTCAAGTAGTTCCTTAGTGCCTCGTTTGAAAGTTCTAAAGAGGATCTCATGTCGATTGGGTTTGTATAGCGTAAAAGGCATGTACCAGACTTGTGAAGTTAATCGGGTATGTACCAGATTTGTGAAGTTATCGGGTATGTACCAGATTTGTGAAGTTAATCGGGTATGTACCAGATTTGTGAAGTTAATTGGGTATATCTCATTACACACTTCCTTGGTGGTATTTGTGGACCTTTGAGTGTGTCAGTCTTACATGGGGGAGCTAAGTGGCCTGTACTGTTCATTTTTGGGTTGACTATCCACTTGTCAACATCTGAGTGAGACCTCAATTCACTGATGGATCTTAATATATAAGGCTCAACAGTATATTTGGATGGAGCACAAATGCTTGCTATAGCCCCCATATGAGTATATGATGGTCAACTTGGTCTCTGCTTCTGATTTGCCTTCTATTGGTTAATAACTAGTCTAGCTGGTAGAGACGGATGGTTCTAGAAGGCAACTGATAAAACTCCCTGAAATCTGAATATTATTTTTGTCATCTGAATGTAGTTTTCGGGGTTTGCTTCCTACGCAGTATTTACACATTTTTTTTTTGTTGGATGACTATAAACCAAGACAATGTGGAAGTGGTTTCTTTGGTTCTTATGGAATATATACAATGTATAGATTGTCATTCAAGCATTGCTGCATGCACACCAACTTCATATCTTTAATATTTGTGGGACAAAAAATTATATAGGATACGATTTCTGTCATTGAAGTTCTATTCCCAGAGGAAGACACACATATTGAATTTAAACTCATAATCTTGAGCTTCATGATCAGATAAGTTCCATATTGGGTTTATGTGTGTTCCAGATCATATGTTTCCTTTTGTTCCTATCCTCCCTATACTTTGAATTTCTGTCCTTTGTTTAATTTAGGACTAATTATTGGTGTCTTACTTTTTCATCATTAGACTGACAAATGAAAGTATAAAAATTTCATTTAGTTTAAATGCATTGCCCATGCTGCTTCTGCCTTGGGGTACAGAACTCCTGTTTATCTCTTTTTCTATTCATGTAACTTGTCTTTTTCTTTTTCCTTTGGGGACTTGTCTGGAATCACTGATTGTGGCTTTTCATTTTGGAAGGTGGATCTGACTGCATATGTGGAGAAGCATGAGTTTTGTTTTGATGCTGTTTTGGATGAGCATGTAACAAATGACGAGGTATGGTTTATTTTGCAACAGGATTCTTGTGGGCATGGTGAACAGTTAGGGTTAATATTGTCCTTTGTTTGCCTTTCTTTGAGGTCTTTATCATTATATCGTTATTATTCTTCCCACTTCTGCAATTTAGTTTTATTGTTTTTTCCCAGTTTTTTAGAAGAGTTTTGCTAGTTTAGTGTTTATTGATCTTGTGCTTTTTAATAGTGACCTCTGGATTTTATTATACTAGCCTTCGTTTTTCCTTGCATCAATAGCCATATAATGTTTTACATCTCATAAATTTGAACAGGTTTATCGTGTTACTGTGGAGCCCATCATCCCTACTATTTTTCAGCGAACTAAGGCAACCTGCTTCGCATATGGTCAAACTGGTGCGTGGCGAATTAAACAATATTTTTATTCATGTTGAACTGGGGAAGGCCTCATATGCACTCTGGAGGTTTGGCCTTCTGTTTATTTCAATATAAAACATACTGAAAATGGGTGCAGAATTTATTTCCTTGCTAGAAGGATATGGATTTAGATATGTCTGCGTTGTTTTCTTTCTATTACTCAGTCAGTACTATCTACAAGACAACTACATAATATCTTCTGATCAATCATCTGGTTTTGAGCAACGATGCAGTATCAATTGAACACAGCTATTTTACTTATTGTTAAGTATATGCGTGTTTTTTCTATCCGAGGAGGGTTAATATAAGTTTCATGTTTAAGCATTGAAGGGAATGAGTTTTCTATATCGGCTTTTAAGAGAGGTATCAGTATTATTGTTGATTTGAACACATAAATCCTTTACAGTGAATAATACTTGCGGTGAATTCTTTTGATGGGTGAAACTCCAAATGGCCTGTTGATTTTTATGATGTCTTAAATATTTTGAGTTTTATGCAGTTGCCTCATATAGCATGTGCAAACTTGTGGTAGAACCATAGAATTCCTCTTTATGAATTTATTGGTTTTTTGATGGTGGCGGTATGTATATTCTATTTCTATTTCAAATATCAGATGATGATATATGGTTCCAGAAGTGAGCTGGTATTGATGTCACTGCTTTGGGCCATTTTTGAGCTTTGGATGTGTTTTCTTTTTCAGGCAGTGGAAAGACATACACTATGCAACCTTTGCCACTTAAAGCTGCTGAGGATATTGTTAGGTTGTTGCATCAGCCAGTATACCGTAACCAGAAGTTTCGGCTATGGCTCAGCTTCTTTGAGATTTATGGTGGTAAACTCTATGATCTTCTCAGTGAAAGGAGGTCAGTATTCTTTCTGCTGTACATTATGTTAATTTATTGTTGGATTTTATGTCGTACTATTTTTTGGCTGATATTGTTGTAGGCATGTAAAATTCCAGGGATTTTGGGCAACGCTGACGCATATGAAAATCTTAGAGGAAATGACTTAATGCATTATGACACAATTGTGTGTGTGTGTGTGTGTGTCTCTCTCTCTCTCTCTCTCTCTCTCTCTCTATATATATATATATATATATATATATATATAGT